AGCCCATGTTGATCTGCTTAAGTGGGCATGATCCTTCAAGACGGTGATATGTGAGGTGGAGACTATATAGAGAATTACAGAACTACGATTAGCTTGATCCCGGTCAGAGGGTATGTAAGCAACCATGGTATAATGATGCAACTTGTTTGGCCTGGTTTTGACGTTTTTTTTTCAGATCTCTCTGGTGATGTTTGGGTGTTTCTTCTGGTGTTCATCCAACATTTGAGGTTTATCAAATGATGTACGAGGTGGAGAATTGTGAATGTGAAAAGTGCGAGAGAGTGAACAATGTCTCGACACTATTCACTCGAGAGCGGTTTGGGTTTTTTCCTGCGGTTTTGGGTCCTGTTTGCTTGGTATAAATAGGAACTTGTTCCTAGGGTTTTCTAAGGGGTTTTGGCGGCTGTTTTGAGAGAAAAAGCAGAGAGTTTTTCAGATCTAAAAGGTGAGATCTTGAGAGAAAAAGAGAGAGCTTGGAGAGATTTTACAAGAGTCAATTTTTTGGGTAAAAGTCAAAGCTTCATCTTTAGGACGAGCTTGTGGGTTGTACAAGTCATCGGTGTTCTCCTTCATAGTGGAATCTCCCTTCACCCCTCCCCGTGGACGTAGGCAAGTTCGCCGAACCACATAAATCTCGTGTCTCACTTGTTTTCTGTGTGTTGGCTATTGCTTGTTGGTTTACTCGATATTCAGACCTAGATTTGATATTGAGAAGAGTGTATATCTCATCTTGTTGAGATATATTACTTATGTTCTTGTTTCCTTTGTGAAACGGGAATATAGAGGTTGACTTGAGCTTTTGCGAAAGTAAAAGCCAGGGCTTTTTCTCAGGTTATATCGCTTCCGCGGCGTGAGGGCGTGACTCTGCGCCCAACAATATTTTCTATAATTTGTTATGAAGGTTTGGATGAAGCATTCTAGTTATTGCTGATATATATCATGATATAGGTAACTAATTTTCAGGTTAAGATTAAAGTTTAATGTCCAAGTACAAACCAAAGTTAACTAAAAAGCTCGGTGAAATAAGAGCTCAGCGCATGAACCATTATGGAACTAGTTTGTAACTTAACTGATACTCTGTCAAGTGTCAGTAACATGGATATAGTAATTAAAGCCCAGCAGTGGGATCATTCTTATTTCTACCTTGGATGCAACTATTTCAAGTGGCATAATGTATGTATAACTGTCGAAATGCATGCTCACTTGTGGGCATCCATGCATCTCAGGCGCGTGTAGTGTGCATATGTTTTCGTGACCTATCTAGCTTAATGAAGTTGAGCTTGATATAGCTTGAGCTAAGTTCATCACTTTATCTAATAACTGATGTTGAAGCTAAGCACAGCCTGACTTGTAAGCTAAATAAATTGACATGAAAGTGGCAAAAAAGCAATTCGTGAATCCATGTGATATATCTTGAGCTTGGCTTGGGGAATAATTAAGCTTCAACTTGACTGGATATGTTGATAACCGGATACAACATGGCAGCTCTTTAGTCCACCCGGACTAGCTGCTCATGGTTGGACTACGCAAAATTGTAACCAATTAATAATAGAAAAGAACATAAGAGCGTTATGATTGATGAGTTTAGCACATGATTTTCACATGTTGCCTTCATTTTTTACTCTACAATTTAATTAAATCCACTGGCTCCATCTGGTCTATCCCTCGTCTGGATCTTTCTTTTTAAATCGCGTTACTCTCCTAGAAATCTTTTTATTAAAAGGCACTAAATGTGTATCCAGACTGCTTGTTACATGTGATCTCCATAGTGTTATTTCTGTTCTAGTAATAAAAGAGGAGAACAGTTTACTCTGTATCATGGTATTACCCTTCTCATAGGAAGCCTTTGATATAGACAGGATTCTGTACTCTGATGTTTTATCAATCAATTTCTGAACTCTGGAATGATATGTATTGGATCTATGTTAGAACCTTGATCTTAGTTTCTAATTCCTTCTTCCTGCTGCTGTATGGGCATGCACAAGTTACACATATATGATGCTTCATTTATGTACTGAATTATGTTCTTTCTTCTCTATCTTTTGTCCTTGCAAATTTTACCATAACTATTTTCTCCTTGCTTCTTGTTCTAAAGGCTATCCTTTATTTGAGAAGTAAATGGTGTCTTCTCATTTCTAACTTGGCAACAATTTGTATAATGTGGACATAGAGGCCACTTGCTAATTTGGATGCAACTATGATGTACTTAGCCATATGTGAATTTACATATGGATGGATGTTTTTGCACACCTTTGTTTTTGGGCATGTATCCACACTGATTAGAAAATGGTCTGGACACATGGACATAAAAGTGACTTCAAAATCTGTGCAACTCTGACACTCAGGGATTTTATCTTATTCCAGTTACTGGAGCTGTATCAGTCACTTGGTGTGCTTGCATGTGAAATGGTATTTGGCAACACCTTAAGGGCTGTGGTAAATAGGAGTTTCTCTGAACTGAGATATGGGAAACAATGTATTTGTTAAGGAATATATTATGAAATATCTATTTACATTTGGATTCTTCGAAAGATATATTACGAATATATGATGGAGAGATTAGGTATATGATTGAGAGAATAAAAGAATATGCTAAGAAAATGTATAGCATGTTCCTAATAATATTTTACATGTGTTTATTTCTTATTACTATAAATTGAAGAGATCAACAGAGCTCTACAATTGAGTCTTTGCTTTTCCTCAGAATTATTTTTAACATGGTATTAGAGGCAACCTTGATTAAAATATTGCTTGTCACAAATTTAGTGCAGATTAAACGTAAGTCTAGGTTTCAGCCCATAAAAAAGAGCATTCAACCTGTGGACGTATGTTAGAGTATACAACTATGATTCTCAAGCTTTATCATAACTTCGGAGTTTTGATATAGCGGTTATAGGGAATTTCTCATGGTATCGGAACTACACAAACCCTAGCCTCCACAAAACCCTAGCATCTCACCAAACACTAGCCCCCCACCCCCTCAGCGCCAAACTCTTCACTTTGCCTTCCTTCTGCCCTTCTTTCTCTTACAACTCGATTTGTTGTTCGTAGTGAACAGCACCGTGATTACTATTCACAGTGAACAGTGACGTTGTTACTTGCTCGCCTCGCTTTCCCCTCCCTTGTTGATGATCAAGAACATCTTCATTGATCGTGATAGCTGTCCTCAATGTACGCGTCGTCGTCGTTGAAGTTGGATCTTGATTTATTAGGGTTTGGGTTTGTATTTGATTTATCATGTTTGGAATTTGTTTAGTTTATCGGTCGTTGAAGTTGGATCTGAACTTTGTTATGGATTTATTATAGCTTGTTTAAGGATGGAATCATGGAACGGGGAAGTGTTTGACATTTGGTTGGTTTGAAAGGACAGTAGGGTGGTGCTAGGTTTAACATATTTTGTGATGGATACAACAAAAATTGTTTTGATGGTTTGGTTTGGGCTTTGGAGATTGTTTTGTTTTGGTTATTGGTGTAGTGAAGAATGTTGTTGACTCATTTGGGAGATTAGTTCGGTAAAGATTGTGCTCTCCGTTCGTTTATTTGGTGGATCCTTATACAAGGATCATTTGTTTGTTTGATCTCCAAGGAAGGATCATCTCTTTGTTGGATCCCTGACAAAGGATCACTTGTTTCCCTGACGAAGGATCACTTGTTTGGAGGATCCTAAAGAAGGAATAATCTGTTTGGTGGATCCTTAAAGAAAGATCATTTGTTTGATAGATCCCTGAGGAGGATCATTTGTTTGATAGATCCCTAGAGAGGATCATTTGTTTGGTGGATTCCTAGAGAGGATTGTCTAATTGAACCTAGAAAGCATTAGCTGATTTGAAGGCATTCAAGAGGAAAAGATTTAAGGCTACTTTGAGCATCATCACCTATTAGTCTGTCTGCACTTTATTTGTAACAAGTTGGACATACATGTTCCAGCTTGAGGGGGAAGTGTTAAGGAATATATTATGAAATATCTATATACATTTGGAATGATATATTAGGAATATATGACTGAGAGATATTACAGATTTAATCGAGAGAATAAAGGAATATGCTAAGAATATGTTTAGCATATTTCTTACGAACATGTAACATGTGTTTATTTCCTATTAGTATAAATATAAGAGGTCAATAGAGTTTAGAATTGAGTCTTTGATTTCCCTCAGAATTATTTTCAACAGTGTTCTATGCGTGAATAATGGAATATGGAGAAAAAGCAATCCCATATACGATGTCTGTTCAGTAAGGGAAAATTGACTGTCCTGTCCCTGAATTATTGTTATCTATGTGGGTACAAGTGCAGTTTCACATGGAACCTTGGCATATATCTGGATTGTTAGAACTAACTGAGACAAAGTGAATTTCTGTTTCTTTCCATGTTTTTATTTATATCCAATTCTTTCTACTTCCCCTATGTCAATCTAAATTTTATAAGGAAGTGATCCCATGTACCATGTCTGTTTCATATACTGTATAATACTAAAGATCATGTTCCCAGCTCATGGTCATCAATGTAAGGGTTCAGTTTCAGATAGACTGTTGAGAATTTTGGCTGTGTTAACTAATCGAATTTAACTGAAATTTTCGTAATTAAAACTGATATTGGTGAATGATTCAGAAGGCTTATCAAACCTATGAGGCATGGAGGTGGCCTATACGCTACCATTTACATCCAAAGGAACTCAGCACATGAAAAAATTCAATAATAAAGGCCCAATTTTGAGGTGACACGCTACGTTCGTGAAATTGTATTATCAGGGTTTCAGAGATACATGAAAGAAAAATTTTAAATTTCACAAAACTATCATGAGCTATTAGTGGTTTGCAGTGAACTATCTAACCTTTTTATTTGAGAAAACTACCCCAAGCTAGTAACAATGCCCCTTTCTAGTTCAGGTTTTTTTATTTGGTTTATGTTGGTGATGTTAGAAATACATTATCTTTTACGAAGAAATTTGAATCAAACCAATTGGTTTGAGTATTGTTTTGATGCTTTGTTTATTTGGCAGTACGATGAATCCAAAGCACAAGAGAGGCTGGAGCGTAAAATACAAAAAGCTCCTCCTGAGCAAGGAACCGTGAGGATGCTTACCCGTGAAGAGTGGGATGAGATTCAAGAAGTTAGACCAAGGACTCCTTTTGAATCTAAGCTTGCTCGACCCAACGCGCGATTGAGAACTGGGGAGCCATTACACATGGTTTGTTTCTTTACCATGTACGATTTATTTCCGTTCTGTTTGTACATCGAGTGAATTATTGATTCATTATGAAGGTTATTGAAGCAATGAGAACTCCTATTAATTCTAAAACTATCTGTTTTTTTCTCTCATAAAAAAGTGTATATGAATACTTGAAAATTTTTCCTGCCGTTTGCGGTCCATGCATGCTGTTCTGTGAAATTGTATTGGTGATTACATTTGCAACAAATTTTATGAGTTATTTCCAACCTAAGTTTATTTCTCGATTTGATAGAGAATATGACATAGTGGCATCTAATATGCACAATTTATGATTTTGTAGGAAGACGTAAAGGACTGGACAATAGACGTGCTTACGGATGCTCTCACTAGAGCAGAAGAAAGCGCAAAACACAAGTGAAACTTTGGAGTGGCTTTCCGTTATTGACAATGTAATAACACTGTCTCGATAACACTTGGATAAAATCCACTCTGTGGAAGAGAAGTTTGACATGCTGTTGATATCTTGAAAATCAAGTTGGAAATGGATCCATACTAAGATGATAAGACTTGAATCAGATCAGTTTCAAGTGTACGATGGCGCTTTTTCTGTAAATCAGCACAGGAAATCTTATATTGATTGAGTGATATCAAAGGTGCAAGATTGATTTTGTTTCTCTGACAAGTTGAAGAGGTAGCTTGTGTTTCGGCTTCAATGGGCCTTTCTGGTTTGCAAGTAAGCTGTATTATAGATTTTACAGAGAATTGTTGCTCAAATCCTTACCTTTTTTTTATTGGTCACAAATACCATTGTTGGTCACAGATACCATTGTAGCTCGAACTTCCAATTCAAATCCCGTGGATCATCTATGATGTCTCCTGTCTTTTCTAATGAAAATTTTATGCTTTTGGTATATTAATCTTTTACGCTCGGAAATCGCAAGAACTGCTTCACTGTCTTATTGGATTTAAATCTAATTAAATCTATTTTTGGGCACATATGTTATATCAGTGTGTTGCTATCTTTCAGTTGACACGTATAAAGTGATCAATCAGGTAATTGGGTCAATGGGTATTTAAATATATCATGGGCTAAATGTGCGGATACCAGGTTGTAATTATAATTTGATGAGGGGCCAAATTATAAAAGTACAACTATAAATAAGGGGTTATGGTCCCTAATCTATGGTTATATTCTCTATTCTCTTAATCACCATCTAAAGAGATTCTAAAGGAGAGACCCTCAAGATTAGAAGATCAAACCCTAATTCAGATCCGTACAAATCCAAACAATGGATTCAGATATAAGCTTCCGCTCTCATTGTTGTTGTTTATTCTCTTTGAATTAATCATGGTTTTATGGATTAGATCTCAGATATTCAGATCTAACAAGTGGTATTAGAGCCAACCGTGATTAATTCTTAGGGGTTTAAGTTTTAAAATTGGGTTTTTGATCTTAAATCTCTGGTTTTTCTTAGAACTGTTCACGGATGAACAGTAAAGTTTCGATTGAATAGTAAAGTTTTAAAAAAAAATTTGATTTTTTCTTCGGTTTTTTTTGGGATCTGGATCAAGAAGTCATCCTTTGTTTTTCCAATTCTGGATCTGGTTTTGAAATAAAATCGAGGAATTTTTTGGATCTATTTTTGTTTGGTCGTCGGTCCCCGTGCTCCTCGCCGGCGAAGTGTCGCTAGCGGCCTCGCTCTTGACTCCAACGGCGATGGCGACGTTAGGAAGCCCTAAGGTTTCGATCTTTGGGTGCGGGAGTAAAGGCGGCGGCGGTTTCAGATTAAAACCTCAAGGGGTTCGTGTGCGTGAAAACGTGCGGAAATTAAGGAGATGATTACCTTAAATTTTTGGCGAGGCTTGAAAGCTTCAAACAAACCCTGCGTTCGTTCTCAAGTCGAACCTCGCGTTCGTTCTCATGTCGAACCCCGCGTTCATCCTCAGGCAAGTCTCTTGCTCACTTCAAACGAACCCCGCGTTCGTTCTCAAACGAACCCCGCATTCGTTCTCAAACGAACCCCGCGTTCGTTCTCAAACGAACCTTGCGTTCGTTCTATTGTTCTACTTTTCCGTCGGGTGAAAGAAGAAGGCTGCAGACAATTTGAGTTAGGGCACAGCCCACTTAACTATATTTGGTTTTGGACCCAATTTTAGTATGCTTAATTTAACTAATTAAGTAATGAGGCCCTATTTAAGCTGTGGAAATTTAAATTAATTTAATTTAAATTTAAATTTAATTTGCTAGTTAATCAATTATTTAATTCAAATATTATGACACTAAGGTATTAAGGTTGTCTCTCACTCTAATTGTTTAATTAAAACAAGAAGTTGCCAAAGTAGCCTCTCTTGTGTAGATTGTTCATGAGGAATATGAGATGTTTGTGTGTATACTTTCGTGTAAATATTTAATCGGCCCAAAGGAAGGTTAATATTTATTTAGACTGCATACACATCTGCGATGATAAACGTGTGACAATTATAAAGTTTACATGTGAATAATGAATCGATCCAAAAATAGTTTCATTATTTGACATGAGTTATTGTCAATGTTTGATCATTGCAACAAGGTATCACTTACAAGTTAATATTACTGTCCAAAGACTTGATATTAATGTTGTGCCAGATATCTTGAGATGAGATTTGTCATTATTTGAATTTTATTGATTACGGTTAATAATGTGAGTATCTTTTGTTTATTTCAGCTAATGCATCTGCTGCAATAATTTCTGCTAACATCAACTCAATTCTCATGCTCAATGGGACAAATTTTAAGGTTTGGAAAGAGAACATATTAATTATTCTTGGCTGCATAGATCTAGACCTTGCATTAAGAACTGAGCAACCCCAACCTCTCAATACGGATAACACTCCTGATGTTAAGAAGGAATATGAGAAGTGGGAGCATTCAAATCGCATGAGTCTAATGATCATTAAGCGCGGCGTTCCGGAAGTCTTCAGGGGCATAGAATCCGAAGGGATTACTAAGGCTAAAGATTTCCTTACAGAAATTGAGAAGCGTTTTGCGAAAAACGATAAGGTAGAAACAAGCACGCTTTTAGCTTGCTTGATTTCAATGAAGTATAAGGGAAAAGAAAATATCATGGAGTACATTATAGAAATGTCTCATATTGCTTCGAAACTTAAGGTGCTTAAACTCGATCTTTGTGATGAGTTATTGGTACATCTGGTTTTGTTGTCTCTTCCTGTACAGTTCAGTCAGTTCAAGGTCAGTTATAACTATCAAAAGGAGAAATTGACTCTAAATGAGCTCATTTCATACTGTGTGCAAGAAGAATACAGGTTGAAGCAAGATAAGAAAGAAAGTGCTCATTTGTCTTATGCCTCTAAGGATAAGAGCAAGAAAAGAAAGAATGATAATGAAGCTGCTAAGGGTCCAGTTCAGAGGAAACAACATAAGGATAATCAGTGTTATTTCTTCTGTAACAAGCCTGGACACGTAAAGAAGGATTGTACCAAATATCACGCCTGGCGTGCTAATAAGGGTACGTTCCTTACTTTGGTCTGTTCTGAGGTTAATTTAGCTTCAGTACCTAGAAATACTTGGTGGTTAGACTCTGGTGCTACTACTCACATAAGTGTTTCTATGCAGGGTTGCCTGAGCTACCGAAAGCCAAGTGATGTTGAAAGACACATCTTTGTGGACGACGGTCAATCGGTAGATGTGGAAGCAATTGGGCATTTTAGGTTGCTATTAGAAACTGGTTCTTATTTGGACTTAAAAGATACTTTTGTAGTACTGTATTTTAGACGGAATTTGGTTTCTGTTTTTGTATTGGAGAAATCAGGTTATCATTGTTCATTCGAAAACAGTCAATTCGGTTTATCTTTTAATTCAAATGTTGTGGGAACCGGTTACTTGAGTATTTATGATAACCTATATTTGCTTGATACAATTGCTTCTTATAATGAATCCTTGCACATGGAATCACGTGGTACTAAGCGTAAATTAAATAAGGAGAATTCAACGATATTATGATATAAACGTTTGGGTCATATCTCAAAAGGTAGAGTTGAGCGTTTTGTGTCTGATAGCATTTTTGGATTCCCTTGATATTTTGAACTTCGACGTATGTGTTGAGTGTATCAAGGGAAAACAGACCAAAATTAAGAGATTAGGTGCCAAAAGATCTTCAGACGTCTTAGAGTTGATACATACAGATATTTGTGGGCCATTCCCTACGACATCTTGGAATGGTCAACAATGTTTTATATCATTCATAGACGATTACTCACGTTATGGGTACCTATATCTCATTCATGAGAAATCTGAGTCTATTCATAGACGATTACTCACGTTATGGGTACCTATATCTCATTCATGAGAAATCTGAGTCTCTGGACATATTCAAAGCCTATAAAGCTGAAGTTGAGAATCAACTCAACAAAAGAATTAAAACCGTTAGATCTGATCGTGGTGTGAGTACTACGGCAAATATGATAGTTCAGGTGAACAACGTTCAGGACCATTTGCTAGATACCTAGAGGAAAGCGGTATCATCCTACAGTACACCATGCAGGGTTCACCTAGCATGAATGATGTAGCTGAAAGACGAAACATGACTCTTAAGGATATGGTAAGAAGTATGATTGCTCATTCTTCTTTACCAGAGTCACTCTGGGGAGAAGCACTAAAGACAACAGCTTACATTCTGAATAGAGTACTAAGTAAAGCAGTTGCTAAAACACCTTATGAGCTTTGGACTGGTCGAAAGCCCAGTTTAAAGCATTTACATATTTAGGGATGTCCAGCTGAGGCAAGGCCTTATAGGCCAAATGAAAAGAAATTGGACTCCAAAATAATTAGCAGTTACTTTATTGGGTATTCTGAACGCTCTAGGGGCTATAAGTTTTATGATCTCACACTCAGGAATATTTTTGAGACGGGAACAACAACATTCTTTGAAGATGTTGAGTTTGGGGGGAGAAATAAGGTTAGAGACATTATTTTTGAGGAGGAATTGGCTTCAGACCCAATCCATACAGTTACTTTTGATAATATTCAGGTTCCTATACATATTGTTGCTCAAGAAGTAAATCTAGAACCTCAAGATGACAATGTTGAACAACTCCCTGTTCCAGAAGAACAAACTCAACAAACTCAACAACCTCAAGAACCAGTGCCATTAAGGAGATCCACGAGAGAAAGGAGAAATGCTATTTCAGATGATTATATTGTATTTCTCCAAGAACATGAGGAAAGTAATAGAATATTGGAAGATGATCCAATCAACTTCTCTCAGGCCATGAAAAGGTGTAACTCTCAACAGTGGATTGATGCCATGAATAAAGAGTACAAGTCTATGCAAGACAATAATGTTTGGGAACTTGTCCCATTGTCAGAAGGTGCAAAACCAATTAAAACCAATTGGTTGTAAATGGATTTTTAAAACCAAGCGGGATGCAAACGGTAATGTGGAGAGGTATAAGGTACGTCTTGTAGCTAAAGACTTTACTCAAAAGGAAGGTATTGATTATACAGAGACTTTCTCTCCGGTTTCATCGAAAGACTCATTCAGAACAATCATAGCACTTGTTGCTCATTATGATCTTGAGTTACATCAGATGGATGTTAAGACTACATTTCTCAATGGCGACATTGATGAGATGATTTATATGGTGCAACCAGAAAACTTTGTGTCAGGAGACCTAAAGAATATGATTTGTAAATTAAGGAAATCCATCTATGGACTCAAGCAAGCTCCTCGTCAATGATATTACAAGTTTCAACAAATAATTATCTCGTCAAGCAAGCTCCTCGTCAATGATATTACAAGTTTCAACAAATAATTATCTCGTTCGGTTTTGAGATGAATATTGTTGATGACTGTGTATATCACAAGTTCAGT